TCAAAAAAGATTATATAAATAATATGTAATATTATATAATTTAAAAAAGAAAGATGTAAAGGCATGTATGAAAGTAATTATAAACTAATATACAAGGTTAATAATAGAGAATAAAATATTTGAATTCAAAATTGCAGGCCGATATGAAAATAATATAGTAATCCTAAAAAAATAAGAGATCTTTAAAGATAGAACAAATAATATTTATCTTGAAGAAATACAATATTACTTTGAATATACACTTACATTGATCAAAAATTGATAAATAATACACACACTGGTCAAAAATTAATAAAACATACACATATTGGATATCCGATATATGTATGTTTTATCAATTTTCAACCAGTGACATATCAAGTACCCGATATGTGCATGGTACGTCCCTAATATCAGATATATATCGGGTACCCGATATGTGTAGAAAATATTTTTTATACTTATCAGGTATCCAATATATATATAAAATATTTTCTATACCTATCGGGTACCCGATATATGTCCGATAGTAGGGACGTACCATGCACATATCAAGTACCTGATATATATATTATTTATTAATTTTGACCAGTGTTATTTTTTCAAATGAATCAAGAATCTATCTTTAGCCTATATTAAATAGTACAAAAATATGTCTTTCTCTAGTATTTGATTTAAGCATAAATTTATGACATCTAAAATATCAAATATAGAGTTATAGAAAGAAGAATATTATAAGGAAGGTATAGATTCGATTATTGCAGTATATAGAATATATGGTCGAGCCATTAAGATAAACTATTGAATGGAAAATAAGAATAAGAAAAATTATGTTTCAATAATTTCATTGAATAGAAAATTTAATGTTTAATTTATTTTATTTAATAATAATAAAGAAATTATTTAATATAATAAGTATATAAACCTGATTTTTAGTAGTATCGGATACTTGATATAATGTAAAAATTTTACATCGATATATCATTAATAAAATATCAGGCATCTAAATTAATAATTTTTTTTTCAGGCATTCAATATTAATGATAATATTGTGTACTTGAATAAAATAATTAGAATACCTTCTGTCTAATATTATTATTTATTATCATGTATCCGATTATACATGTTTCCAAAATTGATTTTAGATTTTTGAGTTATTTTGACTTTTTAAGATTTATGCAGAATCTATTCTATATATAGAAGTAAAAAAAGTACCTAGTTATATGTATCTTTAATCAAAGAATAAATCTGAATGATTAAAAAATTTCAGATTTTAAGTAAAATAATTTTATCTTCTATGAAAAACTATTTCAACTTTTTTCTTCGAAATTGCAATTTCAGAATTCCAAAATAATTTTGTATACAAGTATATATCTGATATTCAAGATAATATTGGGGACCTGAGATAATAATAAAATTTATCTCACATCTATCACTATTATATTGGATATATGATAAAATTTACAAAATTAATTATCAGTTATTTAGTAATAATTAATCATATCAAATATCCAATATGTTTATTCTTCCTTGATAGATATCCAATAGGTATCCAATATTATAAATATATTCAATAGGTATTCAATATTATAAATATATCGAATACCCAATAGGTACCTGATAAATGTTCAATATTTGAATTTTGACCTGTGACAGTTTCACATTTACCTTTTGAAATTTATGTTTCATAGTAACAGAAGACTAAATAAAGTTTAAAAGTAAATTAGAATAGTAAAGAAAATAATATTAAATTTAAACTTACTGATGCATGTTTCACTTAACTTCAGGATATTCATTTTTTAACTTCCTGTTTTTTTTTTATAACAAGTAGAGTAGTAATATTGAGATGAGGTCAAAAAAAATAAATCACATGTTATTCGAGTGACATACAAAAAAAATTAAGTAAAATGATATAAAAATTAATATAAAAAAAAAAGTTTCCAGTGAAATGAAAAAGTAAAAATGCTATACAGATTAAAGTACCAATTTCAAGTTCAATTTATACATAAACATACTACTCTGAAGGCAATTGTTATTGTTAGGTGATAAGTTGTAGACATGTCCCTTCAGATTAGTCTAAGTTCCATCTTTAACTAATAGTCATTAAAATAAGTCATGTATCTTATATCTGTAAGGAACTTTCTCTTGTTTTAATTAATAAAATTTGGGACAAGGTCTCATTGGAACAAAAAAAAAATAAAATAAAAAATAAAAAAAATAAATAATTTGTAAAATAAAGTTATTAAAGAATAAGACATTATTATTAGCAAAATTATTATCACTGATAATATTATTATTATTACCATCAGTAGTATTATTACTACTGGTAGCATTACCATCTCTATTATTTATACATGATTATTATGATAACAATAACAATAACAAAAATCACGAAAATAATAATAATAGTGGTAATAATAATATCAATAATAACAATAATAACAGAATTGTTAGTGGTCCAACTTAATGTGAAAAAAAAACAGGTTAATGATAAATCAACTTGTTATTTAGGTGAACTTTCTTTATATTAAAAAGGACAAGACAAATTAATAATGATTAGTGAATTTTTTCTTGAAACAATTAATTAATTAAGATTAAAAATTATTATATTTATATTTAAATATACCTTTTGAAATAAAAAAAATTTTATATCCTAATAAAAATAAAGATGGATAGTGAACATTAGATCATTTTCTTAATCAAGTAATCAATTATGCTATTTCAATTTTTAAAATTATACATTTAAATCCAATAGTTATTTTGCATTTGACACAGGTCAAACACAAAAGAATAGTCACTTTGAAAAGAAATTCTGAATTTAACTAATTTATAATATAGGATGCAATAGGACAATTAATTTTAGTTGGTCTATAATATAGAAATTCTGATTTTTAGCTGATCTATAATATAGGAATTATGTATGTTATCAAAACCATTAATTGAATTTGATACAATTAAAAAATTGAAAAAATTGAAGTGAAATTTTCATTTTTATATAGTAATTTGATGTAATTATTGAGTCAGACATAATTAAAAATTGAAAAAATTGGAATTTAGTCAAGGCTTTTTACTTTTGATAACATGTATAATAGGAATCACCATTCAGTAGTGATTCTTTTGCATTTAACTAGTGTGATAATAGTACAAATCATGGTACTATGCTTGAAGATCAACTGAATGTATATAAATGAATATGAAGCCAGATAGAAATTATGCTTTTGGTTTAAATAATATAATTCAAGAAATGGGTTTTCCTTTAGATCATCCTACATTTACTGGTCAACCAAAGGAATGAAACAAATTTTAATAGAACATAATTTATGACCAACCAATAACAAATTATTAGTAACTTGTAAATTATGTATTGGGGAGGAAAAAATTATAGATCCAATTGTACAAATTGTTGTGCTTTTCATATTCTTTCATTACAACCTGATTTTTTAAATCAAAAATCAAAAATTGAAATAGAAATTATAGCTAAAGGTCACAAATGTATATTTTAACCAAAATTTCATTATGAATTAAACTTTATTGAAATGTATTGGGGAATGACAAAAAATATACAAGAGAAAATTGCAATTATACTTGGATAGGATTACAAAAAACAGTTCCTGAAGCACATGCCGTTTCTTTAATTACTATTAGATATTGACAAAAAAGTATCTCTTAAAACTTATCTCAAGTTTTGTAAAGAAGAACCAAGAATTTCAGTCAAATACCATTTAATTGATGAATAGATGTTATTGTGGATATGAATAGTGTCTATCATCCTGACATTTGTGTTCGACCAATAAATCACCGACGACCTCAACCTACACAAGCAATCAATTCAACAGGAAACCATATCCAACTCTGGTGGTGAAAATTGGAAGTACCGAAAGTTTAAACTATATGCATGATAAAGTAGCTTATTATTTTTCTCAACGGACTACTATCCAAATTTATTTAGCCATAATGATACTTTTGCACTTCTTGTATTGCTTTACCTGCGTAACAACCCAAATCAAACCATACCTTTAGCAACGTCTTTCGGAACAACAGATCTTCACCCTATCACACAAGCATAACTTCTAGGTACTGTACATGTTCCAGTTATTATTGGTTCCTTGTAATGGTCCAAAAATTCCTGGATATCAGGATATCAAATGCGATATTACTATGATTTAAGTAAACTCGAATAACTCGAATAAAACTGATAAAGAATCGATTCATTTTTTGATTCATCATAATTAGTACCTGTTAATATACGATTTACATTTCAATAAAAATAAAATAGAATTCGTGATTACAAAAATAAACGGATACTTTATTTATTATACATAATAAATGTCTTATAAACTGAGGATGCCTCTACATTTAAAAAAAAATAAGAATAATCGAATAATCTGAATTAGTAATTATTTACAGTATGTAATTATGATTATTCCCATACAAAAAAAAAAAAAAAAAAAAAAAAAAAAAAAAATTAAATTTGACAATGTCTTAAAGAATATGAAATGTTGATGCATAATCTTTATTTACTATTGTAAATTATAGGACACTACAAGTTTCAGGGTAATGATAATCTCCATTATTTCATAATGAAAAACAGATCCATTTTCTAGCATTAAAAAAAAGTAGAGTATTTAATAAAGAACTATGATTGCTTTTATAGATAATTATTCGAATATAATAGCAATTAATCCAAATTCATTTTCATTATTATGGCCACATATAAATCTGATAGTGCAAATTGACTTGAAAAATTCAAAAGAGAAAGGATGAATGTAATTTAATATATAATAACAAACCTTATTTTCGTATAGAGTTACGATTTCAAAACCGATTTAGAAAATTTCAATACTAGTTCAGGATGAAAATTTTTTAGAAAGTCATCGGATTTGTGAAATTAAATCAACTGACCAAACTCATTCTATTTTTATCTTTCATTTTAACTCTTTATATACCTCTAAACGACAAATAACCAAAAAAAAAAACGAATTAAAAAAGAATTCGATAATTCATTTTAATAAAAAAATAATATGTTCGGACGTCCCAACGCATTTGACGAATCTGTTAGTATGTATTTATTATACTTTATCAAATACTCTTGCTAACTATGATAATCACTTAATTAACCAAGTTTGATTTATACTTTTGATTAGACGCCGCAACAAGTGAGACCCTCACCAGGGAGGATTGGAATTTAATAACAGGTATATGTCATAAGGTTGATTCGGGAGGCGAACAAGCGTAAGTATATATTACTTATAATAATAATAATAATAATAATAATAATAAGAGTGATGCTAATTTTCACCGGGGGGGAAATTTCACCGTAGGCAGAATTACATAATTCCTGGTCAATCTAACCCTACCAACATTAACTTAATTCTGCCCACTCCCTCCGGTTAAATGTAGTTTTTTTCTAATAATAGTAATAATAATAATAATTCTCCCTCATTTTGTTGAGATTTATTAACATATTATTTTTTTTTCAGTGCCCGTGAATGTGTGGCATCTATTTTAAAGCGTCTGAGCCATCGAAATGCCAATGTTCAATTATATACTTTAACAGTAAGTTTTACACATAATCAAAAAATTTTTTGGGGGTTCATTAACTTAAAATTTTTTTATGATAGCTGTCAAATGCCCTGGTTCGCAGTGGCGGCACTTACGAAATGGAAATTCGCAAAGAGATTTGTTCGAGAGCTTTTATTACAGTGTTAACCCGGATGCTAAATGATAAAGTATGTAGATAATTTATTTAATGAATGATGAGCTTTATTTAAATATTTGATAATTAAATATTTAATTATTTAATTATATTTTATTGTTATTTAATTGTTATTTAATTGAATTATTATACTAATTATATTAATTGTTTTAGGGGGTTCATGAAAAAGTCAAAAATCGAATACTCGATTTAATTCAAGAATGGAGTAATTTGTTTCGTTCAGAACCATCTTTGGATCTTATGGAAGAGACTTTCAATAATCTACGGAAAAGTAAATTTCAATAATTTTACTATTATTATACGAAATTATTTAATATATTTACGGTTTTCTCAAAATTATTTATTTTACTATTAGGTTTTCAGTTTCCTTCGCCAGAAAGACCAAAGAAAGGACCAAGTGAAGTAAGTAAGGTTTAGATTATAATAATAATAATTATTATATTGGTTATTTACACTTATTATTTAAAATATACATTTAAAAAACTTTTTACTAATATATATATATATTTGTTTTTCATACAGCTTGATGATAAAAGACGCAAAGAGGAAGAGGAAGATCTTCAAAAAGCTCTGAAACTTTCATTGGAAAGTTCATCTCAAAAGGCGGTTAATAATACACCATTAGCAAAAGTCACCACACCACAATCATCTGTACAGGTTGGTTAATATAATAATAATAACAATAATAATTATTATTTAAATGTTAGTATTAACATTTGTTATTTACTCATAATTTTCCTATACAACATTAAAGCAGAATAATGATAACGTTAAATCACCTAATGTTTCACGTGTGAAAGCATTATATGATTTTATTCCCACTGAAACAGGTGAACTTGGTTTTTCTCGAGGTGATGTAATCACAGTATTGGATAGCTTGTATCAAGATTGGTGGCGAGGTGAATTGCGTGGACAAACAGGAATATTTCCAGTAAATTATGTGGTTAGTAAAATAATTCTATAATATATTCCTAATATATTCTTTATATATTCTTTATATATTTAATTAAAAAAACGAATAATCATTGGAATCATTTTTAAATAAATAGGAAAAGTTACCTGATCCAACTCCAGCGGATATTGCAAAAGAGGCTGAAATGGAAGTTAGTGTTTTCTCTGAAGGTCGCAATATCGATCTTCTCTTAGAAATGTTGTCTGTTTTGGATCCACAAAAGGATAGTGTCACTGAAAACGAAAATATTCAGGTAAATATTTATCATTTGTTTATAAAAAATTTTACGCTTTGTTTAATAATTATGACAAATTATAAAATTATAAAATTATAAAATTTAGAATTTATATAACGAAACTTTACCTGTTCGACCTAAGTTAATGAAACTTATTGAAAAATATAGTCAGAAAAAAGGTATTAACTTTTCCCTTAAAAAAAAAAAAAGATTATATTAATAATTAAATATATGTTAATAATTAATAATTAAAAAATATATATTTTTTAATTCTTTACAGATGATCTACTCGCACTTCATAAAAAATTCATTCAAGCAACTACTACATACGATAAGCTTATGTCAGAATCGCTTCGAAAATATGATCCGGGTAAATGAACAAGATATAATTTAAATCTATTTTAAATATTTTAAAAGCAATTTTTAATATTATTAATAATTTATAATTCTAATTACCTAATTTCAAAAAAATTTTAATAGCTTATATTCCAAATACTTCGTCAACGAATCCACAATTCAATACGTCGTCCCTAAATACAAGTTATACAAATCTTAACGTGCAATCCTACGCGCAATCGAATTCATCCATGTTGCCAGGTTACGGTGATCCTACACCCACATATTATCCAGCGCAACAATATTCGACATATCCATCGTCTCAGATCGATAATAAGGGTCAACAATTTCAAGAAAATGATCAACAGCAACTACCGCCGCATTTGTATAATCAATCTCTATACGTGCCCCAAAATTTACCGGATGGGTTTTTAGGTCAACAAAATAATCCTTATCAAACCCAGTCACAACCTCAATCTCAATCCCAGTTGCAACCGCAGTCGCAACCACAATCTCAAACTCAGTTGCAAACCCAACCGCAACCACAATACTTATCTCAAACTACACGAGAAGTACCCGTGAATCAACAAATGCCACAATATCAAACTCAACTATCTCAAGAAATTCCGGTTCAAGGAAATTTTCAATCACAACAAAGTTCTCAACCAATCCCTCAATACACAAATCAAATTATGAATGATCCATCACGTACACAACAACCTATATATCCCAATCAACAACCACTGCCACAATCAAACACATTCATAGGCCAATCTCAATTCACTCCACAACCATCCCAGGATTCTATGGGTCAACCTAGCATTTATACGACGCAACAACAAACACAATTCAATCAACAAGATCCATCTCAAAACGTTCCTTATAATCAACAACAGCCAGTCCAATATGCCACACAAAATCCACAGAATCTACAGAATCCACAGAATCCACAAAATCCACAAAATATACATGATCCACAAAATCCACAAAATCTACAAAATCCACAAAATCTACAAAATCCACAAAATCTACAAGATCCACAAAATCCACATGATCCTTCTGGACAAAATCAATTTTATTCTCTGCAACCACTATTTAATTCTCAAACTCCTCAACAAACACCCTACATGAATGTAAATAATCAAGAACAAGCGACTATTCAACAGACTACTCAACAACCGACTACTACGTTTGCTCCATATTCTGATATTTCTTCAGGTGCACCTCCAGGTCAACAACCTATAAATTATGGTAATTACCCTTCTGTATCGCAACCTAATATTAATGTGCAACATCAAAATGCACAAACATCGCAGTCGTCATCCTCGTCATCTCTACCTCAATCACAAACACAATTTATTTCACCGCAACAATCATATGTTTCATGCTATCCACCACAGCAAGTGAATCAACAACAAAATACACCCGGTTATCCGGTTACTCCCGTTCCTCAGGAATATGCTCAATATTCATAATTTTTCCTTTTAATCTTCTAATCTTTTATTCATTCACATACATATATTTTTAGTGTAGTTATTATTATTATTATTATTATTGGTCGTGTTCATGATGATGATGTTGAGGTTTTTGATTTCGATGATTTGAAGTTGCTGAAGTTGAGACATTTTTAGAACTTTAAGATTCTTTTTTTTTTACTAGATAACAATCATTTTCAATAAATTCATGTAACACTTTATTTTATTTTTTTTTTGATTAATATTATGGTGTAAATAAATAAACAAATCAACTTATATTATTTTGTAACTTTAAAAATAATAGACAATAATTATTATAAAAGATAAAAATTAACAAAAGTAAACATGTGAACAATATATAAACATATATAAACACAAAGTTCGATCCAAGTAGCTTTTTTTTTTTTTTTATTACAAGAGAACAACCAAAATATACAAAAAAAAAAAAGTTACAAGTTAATTCGAGCTAAACTAATTTCTTCTTCCTTTGCTAGTTGGATATCAATTAACATTTTCTTTGTTTTATCTATATGTATATAAAAATTGTTATTAATTAATTAATTCAATTTCTGTATTCAAAAATTAATTAAAATAAATTAAAAATTCAATCAAATCAAATTATTTCATTACCAAGTCGATTCCTAAATGTTTCAATCTCTAATTTTTGTTGTTCTTCATTTTTCTCATAGTTAAAAATCATTAAAGTAGCATCTTCTATTTGGTTCCTAAATGATTCAATTGCTAATTTTTGTTGTTCATCCTTTTTCATATAATTTGATATCATTAAATTAATATCCTCTATTTGATTTCTTAACGTATCAATTGCTGATTTTTGTTGTTCATTCTTTTTATTAGCTTCCAACATTTGATTTTTAAATAATTCTTCCTTTCTTTTATAATCTGAAATCATTAATTTATCATCTTCTATTTGATTTTTTAATAATTCAATTTCTATTTTTTGTTGTTCATCCTTTTTGATGTAATCTTCAATCTTAAAATTGATTTCCTCCATTTTATTTTTAAATATTTCTTCCTCTTTTTTATAATTTGAAATTATTGTAAGAGCTTCCTCTATTTGATCTCTAAAAGATTTAATTTCCAATTTTTGTCGTTCATCCTTTTTCTTGTAACTTTCAATCTTAAAATTAGCTTCCTCTAAATGATTTCTTAATGAATTTTCATTATTTTTGTAATTTTCAATCATTAAATTAATTTCCCCAATTTGATTATTAAATGATTCAATTTCTGATTTTTGTTGTTCATCATTCTTCTTATAAATTTCAATCATAAAAGTAGCTTCCGCGAATTTTTCTCTTAATGATTCAATTTCTTGTCTTTGTTGTTCGTCCTTTTTATAAAATTCAGCAATCATTAAATTAGAATTTTCAATTTGATTTCTAAATGATTCATCCTTTTTCTTGTAATTTTCAATCATTAAATTAACTTCTTCTATTTGATCTCTAAATGATTTAATTTCTAATTTTTGTCGTTCATCCTTTTTCTTATAATTTTCAATCATGAAATAAGCTTCCGTGTATTGATTCCTTAATGATTCTTCATTATTCTTGCAATTTTCGATCATTAAATTGACTTCATTTATTTGATTTCTAAATGATTCGATTTCTGATTTTTGTCGTTCGTCATTCTTCTTGTAAACTTCAATCATGAAATTAACATCCTCTAATTAATTAATTGAAGGAAAATAATAAGTTAAAAATTTAAATAATAATAATAATAATAATAATAATAATAATAATAACAAATAATAATAAGTTGGATTGATAATAAAAATTTCTTTTAATTACTTAATTCAAATTTGAGGGCTAATAAAAGATCTTTAACTTCCTCTTCAATATTTTCTGCTAATAATTCAAATGGAAGCTGAGAACGTGCCACTTTTGCATTATATGATTCTGGTGTCTATTATGTGGGTCAAGTTTTTTAGTTTAAATAATTGAATTTTATAAATTATTTGAAATATTTGAAATATTTGAAATTAATTGATATTTGTAACATACTTTCAAATTAACCAGTTCCGGATCTATTTCGGCTTCATGTTCGAGACGCTTTTGAGCCTGAATTTCTACGAAAGAATTTATTTGATTTTGAACTTCAAAAAGTAATTTCCTCAATTTGGTATTTTCTGCCAACAAGTCATTATCAAAATCCTTTTAAAAATACAATATTATTATTGTTATTATTATTACTAAATAAATTGTTGACACAAAAAAAAAAAATGAAGATTATGATACTTGCTTTATTAAATTTCTTCATATTGTTATTATTATTATTATTGTTGTTGTTATTCCCTCCACCACGTCGCACTGTAGACTTTCGAGGAGGGCTTACATCATCCGGGCCACAATTTGATGCATTGTATCTTGTATTAAGTAATTTTTGCATTTGTTCTTTAAATCTGTTATAATCATTTTCCTTTTTTCTAATTTCATGCTACACAAAATAATAATATTAATTATTATTAGAAAATATAAATAAAATTATATAATTACAAATGTAAAAATATTATTATTATTATTATTATTTTACAGAAGCTTGTGTTTTGGTATATTGTAAATGAGTTTTCGTTTTCGCCAGTTCATCCTTTGTAATTCGATATCTTTCTGATTCTTTATTCAAATCTTCTTCTAACCAACTTTACACCAAAAATTTGTTTATTTTGATGACACAAAAATTTGACATAAATTCAATATAAATTCAATATAAATTCAGTACAAATTCAATATGAAGTCCATATAAATTCAGTATAAATTCAATGAAGGTATAACATACCGTAATTTCGCTTTTAACGCGTCCACTTCGCGTTCACTTAATTCTGTTCTTGTTTTTAAGTTTTTCTATGATAAGCTTTTGATGATAAATTTAAAAAATCTTTTTTAAATTAATTTCACATATTACTGTGTGAAAGTTGTTAGCTTACCATACTTAATAAAAGTAAATCATGATCGCTTTGTAATCTTCGATATTGATCCTCTTGTCCATCGCTGTCTGAATCGTTGGTTCTAAAATTATCATGATTTTAACCCGTATTTTTTTTTTTAACAAATTGTAACAAGTTTGCATAATTATATTTTAAGGAGTTTAATTAACTTGTCTCCAAAGAACGGAAAGCTCGGTATACTTGGTTTGAGATAGTCTTCCAATTCCATAATACTAGAATTATTATTTTCTACCATTACAAAATCTACTTTTTTTGCGTGACTATTAAAATCAATAATTCGTGTTCCTTAACGCGTAGCTGACCAATCATATTAAAGATAATAAATAACGCGTACTTAACAATTTTGATTTCATACTATAAATGAAGATCTACATGATATTAAACCTTAAATTTATTAGATTAAATTTATTAGATTAAATTTATGTTTAACAGATGTAACGGATCTTTTGTCATCTCTTATTTCAAAAAATGACTTCAAAAAATTCAAAAATGTCTTTAAGAAACTCAAAAAAAATCTCCAAAGAGTCAAAGCAAATAGGAAAAACTTGGGGCCGAGATAAAGGTATTATACTTAATATTTGGAAAAAAATTGAAAAAATTTTTTTCTAAAAAAAAAAAAAAAGTAATACTGGAATTTTTATTTCTCAGATATCCATCTTGTTACCATACTACTTTCGTCACTCATTCTCCTGTGTTGTCCTCTACTGGTTCTTGCGTTTTGGATTTCCTGTACTCATTATAGTTGTTCTCTTTATGAACCTCTTCGCATCTTTCAAATTAATGGGTTTTCAAAGGAGACATTTAATTCAGTTGTAATTAATAACCTTCCACAATTTACTTGGGAAGGTTTAAAAATATATGGAATTTGGTTAGGTTTCCAAAGTGTATTATACGCAATTCTACCAGCAAAGATAGGATATGGTCAAAGAACTCCTGCTGGACACATTCTTCCCTATAAAGTAAGCGATAACCTCTCTCATTTGTTATAAATATATAAATATATATAAATATATAAATATATATAAATATATAAATATATATAAATATATATATATATATATATATATATTTATTTATTTATTTATTTACTTAATTAATTATTTTTATATTACATTTTATAAGGTAAATGGTTTATTGGCCTGGTTTATAACACATGTTCTCTTTCTCACTGGAGCATTCTACTTTAAATGGTGGGATGCATCAATTATTCATGATCAATGGGGAACACTTTTTATAGCAGCCAACATTTATGGTTATTTCCTTAGTTTCTTTGCGTATATTAAAGCTTATGTTATGCCATCTCATCCCGAAGATCGTAAATTTTCTGGTAGTTTCATTTATGATTTACTTATGGGAATTGAAATGAATCCACGTTTTGGAAAATATTGGGATTTTAAACTATTTCATAATGGAAGACCAGGAATTATTGCTTGGACTTTAATCGATTTGTCATTTGCTTTTGCTCAATATAATCAAATAGGTGAATAAAATATAAAGTATTTTGATTTTCAATAATATTTTAAGTAATCTAACATATAAAATCTAATAACACAACAACAACAACAATAATAATAATAATAATAATAATAATAACAATAATAATAATAATAATCATAATAATTAGGTTATGTAACAAATTCGATGGTTTTATTGAATATTTTACATGCAATGTACGTTTTGGATTTCTTCTATTATGAAGATTGGTATCTAAGAACAATTGGTAATTTAATTTATCTTTAATTATTATCTTTATTTATTATCTTTATTTATTATTAATTTTTTTTACATTTTTCAGATATCGCGCATGATCATTTTGGATTTTATTTAGCGTGGGGCGATACAGTATGGCTTCCTTGGATGGTAATTTCTAATTTCTTTTTTTTTAATTTTCTCGTATATCATTTTTTCTTCTTTGAATGCATTGTAAATGAAATATTTATTTCAACTTTTTAGTACACAATTCAATCTCATTACCTTGTTCGAAATCCCATCGATCTTTCAACCAATTACTTTTTGGTGGTATTAACTACTGGTTTAGTGGGATATTATATATTCCGAGCGGTCAATAATCAAAAAGATCTTATGCGTCGAACCGATGGTAAATCTAAGATTTGGGGAAAACCTGCTCAATTCATTCGAACAAGGTTTACTACTAGCGATGGAAAAGAACATTCAAGTATTCTACTGACTAGTGGATATTGGGGTAAATTATTAATATTCACAACTTAATATTTAATAATATATTCAATTTAAATTTAAACTCTTAATATATTTAATTTATCATTATAGGAATATCTCGTCATTTTAATTATGTTGGAGATCTTCTTATATCGTTAGCTGAATGTCTTACTTGTGGATTCAGTCATTTACTACCTTACTTTTATATTATTTACATGGTTATACTTTTATTACATCGTATTTATCGTGATGATGCAAGATGTCGCGGGAAATATGGAAAGTATTGGGATGAATATTGTAAAATTGTAAAGTGGAAATTGATACCTGTAAGTATTTATTTATTACTTGTTCTTTGATATATATATTTTTTTAAAATTCAAAGATTCTAAATTTAATGTTTTTTTTTATTTATTTTTAGTACGTTTTTTAATTTGAACTTATCTTTATATACACATACAATTTGAGTTGTATTCCATTTGATAGAATGATAATATTTATTTTTATTTAATCTTTATTTTTATCATCGAAAAGTATTAACTCTAATAGTGACAATAATAGTATTAATGTGTTTTTATTATTGAATACACGCATCATCGTCTCTTTATATAATTGATATGTGATATACTGTTAAAAGTTTCAACTTTATCTTTATTATAAAATAAATTACACTCAACTTTGACTGTAAATTTTCTAAACAATTTTTTTTTTGAAAACATTCACTTTATAACTTTGTTATTATGTTATTGAATGTATGCCTAAAGAAATACATATTAGATACGTTATATTTATTTATTACAAAAACAGTCTCCCGCTTTTCCAATAATAATTTTATAGCATAAAATTTTTTGTAATTATATGTGATTTGTCGCGTGTTAATTAGTTGCAACACTAATTTGTTCAAATTTGTATTTTCTAAAAAAAAAAATTAGTGCTCGATGCGTAAAGGTTTTGTTTGTGGCTTTTATAAAATAAATCTTATCTTTAATCAGAAATTAATTAAATTTCCTTTTTTATTTTCCATTTTTGGCTGAATAAAAAATTACCCTAGGAAATATATTTAATGGTCGAAAAAAATTTTTGCCTTTTAATTGATTAAAAAAAAAAATAATGTCACTTTCCTCGCAAGATGAAAAAGGAAAAGAACTACGCGTGCCTGATAACAATTTTAACATTTCGACAGGGGTGCAGAATATTGGAATTGATAATGTGAAACCGGAAATGTTGCAAGCACATTTAATGCTTTTAACTAAATTTAAAGCATTGGAACAAGCAGATGAACAGATTGATGTGAGATATTTATTACGTGCGCAGGAACGCTATTTGTTGTGGTTAAAGTTTTTGGGTAGTCAAAATTTTGACCCAGGAATGAAACTTATTCCTCCTATAGGTGAACAAAGGATTTAAAATGCTAAATTAAAAAAATTTTGTTTTACGACTTTTGTTAATAACTAAATAACTTTTTAAATAGATGTTTGTTACATTTGGCATTCACATTTGCTTTCACCAATGCGATACTATGAAGATATGTTGCGAATTTATGATCCCTTCCTAAAGTTTCCAGATTTTCCCCTGAAACGATTGGCAAGCATCTCTCTTTTCTTCTGATCTTTTCTCATCCTAAATGAAATGCTAAATTCCTCTCGTTTCTATTTATCAGTATGATATTTGGGTAAAAAACGACGGCCATTCTGACCCTGAATCCGAAAGTATTTGGGTGAAAAATACTGAACAACCATGGGTTCTTGATCCGAATGACAGTTCCGATTTTAAGATGACTTGCCCTTGGTGTAAAAATATCACCCAAATTTCATGGTGAGTTAACATTATTTTCGATTTTCATTGTTAACTCCATACTTACTTGATTCATTGTTGGGATATTAGGGAAAATTATGTAAAATTGATGCGAAACATTGAGACAGATGAAAAATGTATGACATGCAAAGTATCAATTTCTGTTGAAACTTTAAGCTGCAAGCGATTTATTGATGATATTGTTAAATGGAATGAGGATAAAACTAAATTTATTGGGTATAATTAATTTTATTATCATCGGATCATTTTGATATATTATTGACTAATATTTTACTTTTTATTTCATCAAGTGGCACTCTAGTTAATCCAAAGGATGGTTCACGTTCAGAACTATTCGCGTTAAATAATTCCAGCTTGTTATTCTCTACAGATGACCCCGACATTAAGGAACTTACTGTTTCGAAATCTCCAAGTTGGAAATATATTATCGATGAACTTGACAAGCACGTAAATCAATTAAAAAAAGTAAGAACAGCCAAAATGAAAAAGAAAAGAAAAATAATTGTCCGAAGAACTGTGTTCGCCTATATTGGTATTCCATTTCCGTTCTCAATTGACCTCATTAGTGCTGTATTTCGACAACGCGAATTCACCAAAAAGATGGTTGATAATGAAGTAATCAATCACACTGAGGTTCAAGCCAATGCCACTATACGATACCTTAAATTCTTATTTTTAATGAAAGATAAGCAAAATACCATTTTAGTACCTACACTTGATATTGATTTATGCTGGCACACACATCAGATTCATGCATCACTTTATCGCGAATTTACCAAAAAGCATATTGGTCAAATTATTAATCATGATGATACATTAGCAGAAGGTGTATTGTCCGATGGATTTGCAACCACCGCTCGAACTTGGTACAAAAAGTATCGCGAACCATATACTCATGATGATCCATCAAAGATTTGGTTAACTAAGAAAAAAAAGATCATGTCTGTTATCATACCACCTTATGGCCTTTTGGTTCATAATCAATTAAAAAATTATAAAAAGTCTCTTACTAAACAGCATGAGAAAGATATAAAAATTTATAATGTTGAAGAGAAGAATGTGGAAAGTGTTGAAAGTGAAAAAGACAAAGAAAAAAGGGACATGTGAGTTATAAAAATGTTTTTAAGTTTTATAAAGGTATCACATTTTTTTAATCATCATTTTATTTATAGTTCATCAAAATATGATTCATTAAAACACAAATCATTAAAATACAATTCATTTGGATGTAAGCAAATTCTTTACTTAAGTCAGTTTACTTTTATGGAAAAATTGAAACATTTGAAACTAAATTAATCTTTTTTTTATTAGTCTTTACAATTCTTGGTATTGAAAATTTTGGAAGCTGTGGTGGTGACGTTAGTGGATGTGGAACTAGCTGTGGTCTAATTAGCGGATTTGATATGAGCGCATTTGGAGGAGGCGGATTTGATATAAGCGCATTTGGAGGAGGCGGATTTGGCGGATGTGGAGGTGGTGGATGTGGAGGTGGTGGCGGATAATATCACTAATTTTATGAATTATGTTCAGTATCATTAATGTTAATATTTTAAATAAATAGTTTATTAAAGATTTAATTGTTATCCTGCAATGTTTAGATAGATATAATGATTTAGATACTTATGCTTTCAAAATCGTGTAACCACAGATTGACTCAAGGATTTAGAACTATAAATGAGTTAAAATTTCAAGTGCCTTTGCAATTCACTAATCAAGGTTTTTATTATTTTTTGATACACATTACACGAGAACATTAAAAAATCAGAAGTTCCGATGTGAAAAAAAATTTTATTTTTTTTTTTGTATGAATTACAATATACGTACATTATAACTAGATCTTTTCTATAGATATCCAATTGTTATTCTTATTCCACAATTTTCATGATGCTAAATTTGCAATTTTTTAAAAATTATGAATTTTGATTCTACAGGGATGAAACACATAACATTTTATAACCAAGAACAAGACCGTTCTATCTATCATAGAAATATCTTGGTAAAAAAAATACTCCATGTTTCACAAATAGTGAGTGAAGTAAAAATGTAAAAAAATACACTGCAGACAAATAAATAACAATTGTTCCACTGCCCCAACTTATTTCTTTCTTCTATGCTATATAGTTGTTTTATTATATTTTTTATTATTTTTTGTTTAGTTTAGTACTAAAGAATTTTAATTAATAGACAAAGGTGTATTTTATATTACTATATTGACTTAGGAGCAACCGTTGTAGGGGATTTGTGTAACCTGAATTTTTAATATGAATTCAGACTTACCATTGTTTTTGCTGGTTTTACTTTTTTTCAAGAAATCAGCAAGGCAATAACAATGCTGGGTGATGTTTTGACTTTGGTTGGAACTGGGATTGATAAACAATACTTAACAATTACAGGAGGAGCTATTACTTTATGTAGTCTAAGTTTTGAAATATTCGGAACTCTTATTTTAAAAATGTATGATAGATATAATGGATAACAAAAGATTAGTCATTTTGTTAATGGGTCGTCTTACTGTAATTGAGTCTACAATAAAGACTCTAGAAAGAATACAAAAGGAAGGAAAAAACTTTAGAAATCAAGAATATTACCAGAGTTTTATTAAATTAATTGAAGTTAGAAAAAGAATTACAACATTCATTGATGATATAACAAGTTTTTCGGTATTTCAAAGGTATATTTATGCGATGAAATTAAGTCCGAACTTGAGATTTTAACTAATGAATTTGAAATTTGTATGGATGATTTAAGCTTAATATGGGCATTGCTTCTTTCATAGTAGAAAAAACAAACTAAAACACGATATTCAAGATATCTCTTTGAATGATAATATTATTAGGGACAAAGAAAATCAACAAACAACAGTAATCAATTTAAACGAACATTTTGCTGAAAAAGAAAACAATCAATAAGAACTTATTTAGAAAACACCTAAACAATTGCAAGAAGAAAATACTCTTTTATATCAACGATTAAAATAATTACAAGAACAAGTTCAGCAAGTAGCCAAAATCTTACATATGACCTGGTCATATATGTTTGACCAATCAGATTGTATAATTTTATAGTTCAATTGTTTCCTTATTTATATCATTGACAATAATTAAATTAAAATTAATTTATACATATTATCATCATTTTTTTATCAAAATTTTTTACAAAAATTACAAACTGTAAGTACATTTGTAGGGTTATTGGATTTTTATTAAAGTAAAATATGCATTTTTAATTAAAAACGCGAAAATCTAGTCGATCATTATATAATCAGTCAGGTCACCTGACTCAAATGAATTGTTAGATTTTGTGTAAAAAAAAAAAATTTGATTTTCGTTAATTGTAAAAAAAACAATGGAAATAATAAAACCCACACCTAAAAATCCACCACGACCAGCACTCCTTTCTTCAGATGAAGGTAGTTTTGCATATACCTCTGCTATATATAGGTGGCCAGTTATTATAACTAAAATTATTGATGATGTTTATAAAACTCGACATTCATTACCAATTTTTAACAACAATAATAATGAGAAAAATGAGATTGACAATAATTATAGTAAAAGATTGGAAATTGAAGAAAAAAATAAGGAAGGAAAGGAAATTATGGATTCTATTGCGGGATTGAAATATCAATTGCAACGAAGAAAGAAATTAATGTATAATATGATTTAATATAATTTAATTAATAATTTTTTTTTATATAATTATAATTGAAATACTAAAATACTAACCAAATTACCATAAATCATATACATAATATAAATACATAATGATAGTCCTATAGAAGATGATGGAGAATCTGACATTGATGATTGGAATTACGTATTTCATAAATATTTTGAAGGAGAAGATTGGTATTCAGCCACATGGTTATTTACAGAATGTTATTTATATCGAAGAATTCGATCAATATTTGCTAAAACCAAACATTGGCATGATTATGATCCATTCTTTCGACAAAAATTGGAATCATTTAAAGCATCAATTAATTCAATAATTGAAATTTCTAAACGTATTGATCAATTAACAATAACAGCAACAACGGCATCAATTGCTATGTCAACATCAACATTATTAGATCAACAAAGAATTATATTTCATGAATTAGTTCTTATTTCACTTTGGGGGAATTCAACAGATTTATCATTATTACCTAATTTAAATTATGAAGATATTAAGAGATTACAAAATACTGGTGAAAATTTATTAAAAGAATCCGAAAAGAATATATTAGCTAATGATTTGGATAAAGTGTGGAATGTAATTTCTAAATATCGAAAGACAAGAATTGATTTTATATTGGATAATGCTGGTAATTTTTAATTTATCAATATTATTTTTATTGATATTATTTTTATTGATATTATTTTCAATGATATTATTTTTAATGATATTATTTTTATTGATATTATTTTTTATTGATATTATTTTTTATCGATATTATTTTTTATCGATATTATTTTTATTATTACATCGTTATTATTATTATTATTATTATTATTATTATTATTATTATTATTATTATTATTATTATTATTATTATTATTATTAT